GAGGAGGGGCTGGGGGCCTGGACCCCTGGGTCTGAGGAAGGAGGGGCTGGGGCCCTAGACTCCTGAGTCTGAGGGAGGAGGGGCTGGATCCCAGACACTGGACGTGGGGGAGGAGGAGGCAGAGGCTCTGTAACTGGATCTGGAGGGCAATTGAGGCTGGGGGTTGGGATGCCTCCTTCTGTGCTAGGGTGTGAGACTGGGAGGGGGGTTTACCAGTTTTCCCAGGAGACAAGGCGGCCCCTCCCGTTGACTAAACTTCCACTCGCAGGCCAGGACAATGGGGCGGATGATTCTGGGGATACTGAGGATGAGCTGAGAAGGTAGGGTGGGGGTTGGGGGTCAGGGTGGCCCTGGCCTTGGGTGGAGGGGGATCTGGTCTGCATGCTCTTCCCCAACCCCTTTTGGCTCCTCCAGGGTGGCTGAGCAGCGGGATCAAAAGCAGCCGCCTGGCCAGGGGGAGAACGGTGAGGACCCATATGCAGTATCCACGGATGAGAACACAGACAACGAGGGTCCCTCAGAGTCTCCTGACCTGCCCATTCCTGAACTCCCAGGTAGGAAATCCCTCCCTCCCTCTGGAAGAGGGATTTGTCCCTCAGTTCTTGGCTATAACTTAAGCCCAGCAGCCTTGGGATCTCTGCTGTCCCCTGTGACTTGTGTCCCCCGATGCCCCGGAACCCCACTACCTGCCTTTGCCACCTCTTTGCTCTCTTAGGCCTATTCCCTTCCCTTTGGCATCCTCTTATGACTTTCCTCTCTGTCCCCTTCCTGATTTCCTGCTGTGACTGCCCGTCACAGTCCAGTGCCAGCTTGCCTTTCCACTCCACTGTGAATGGCCCTGCCTCACTGGCCCTGCATCAGGGCTTCGCCCTCCCTAGGCCTCAGATCACCTGGGGGGCTTTTAGAATCTGCAGATGCTCAGAGCCCACCCCCAGGTTCAGTTTTGTGGGTGTGGGGTGGGGCCCGGGCACACAGGTGACTGGGCAGTGATCTCTGTTGGGACCTAGGTGGTGGTGGCATTGTTGTTTGTCATCCCAGACATGGATGCAGGGGGCGTGGGATGGGGGCCAGAGTCAGAGCCACTGCTGGTCGCAGATGGAGGCAGTCACGGGGTCTGAGTGGAGGCCAGGTTCAGCGGCCACTGGAAGAAGCCATTTTCCCCTGGTTCCTCATGGGTGATGGGCAGTGAAGTCCCTTGATCCTCCAAAGCCCCATAAGTGGCAATCAGCAAATTGATGGCCTGGAAAGTCATGTCAAAAGAGAGAGAAGGAAGAAAGCCAGAGAAAGCACTGGTTGAGAAGGCCTGAGCCAGCCCGGGAAGAAGGGGCAGGCTCTGAAGTTCCTACCCCAGGCCCAGCTAATGAAGGGGCTCCAGCCCACCTGTGATTTAAGAAAAAATTTGCAGATTTGTGTAAGAAATATGTTGCAATAATAGTAATTGTGTCTTTTACCATTAAAGCAAAGAAAGGGGGGAAAAATCTCCCAGAAGGCTCTGGTGGGCCTGGCTGAGAACCACCGCTGTCACCCCGCTGGGTGTGTGTGAACGCCCCTGTGCAGCCACTGCACTGGCCCTCCTGTCTTGCCTCCAAGGGTTCTGTGGCTCCAGCTGGTGTCCGGAACTCCAGGGGTCTCACACTTGGCTCTTGCACTGTTTCCCCTGCAGACTTCTTCCAGGGCAAGCACTTCTTCCTGTATGGGGAGTTCCCTGGGGATGAGCGGCGGAAGCTCAGACGCTATGTCACTGCCTTCAATGGGTCAGTCTCCAGGGGTGGGCAGCGGTGGGGAGGGGATGCTGAGTCCAGGGGAGGGGGTGGGAGGCTGTGGGAAGGAAGGCAATGGGAGGATGGAGCAGGGGCCTACCCTGCAGGATGGGCACAGGGCAGCCACGGATGCACGGCTTCGCCTCAGTTTTCCCTGCTCAAAGTGAGGCTCCCCACCTGAAGGATTAGGGATGAGGGAGCTATCGGTGTTGTGGCTGGGCAAGACTGGCACGTGGGAGGATGGGGGTCCACAGGCAGCCTTTGGGGACACAGTGGGGATGGAGAGGACAGCCTTTGAGAATCACTGGGGAGCAGGATGCTAGAAGAGGGGACGCCAATTCTCTGCCTCTTTTCTTTTCCCACCAGGGAGCTTGAGGACTATATGAGCGACCGAGTCCAGTTTGTGATCACGGCACAGGATTGGGACCCCAGCTTTGAGGAGGTGAGTCCCAGAGGGGCAGGGAAAGGGGGACCCAAACCCCCATGCCTCCCCTCCAACGCCCCTCACTCAACGGGTCCCCATATGCACCCCACCCCATGCTGCAGGCCTTGATGGACAACCCCTCCCTGGTGTTCGTCCGCCCCCGCTGGATCTACAGCTGCAACGAGAAGCAGAAGTTACTTCCCCACCAGCTCTATGGGGTGGTGCCCCAGGCCTGAAGTATGTGTTTGCGCACATGTGCGTGCACACATGCACACACACACACAGGATGCATTTAATAAAGGTGACTTGGTTTGGAGCTGCTGTCCCTCTCACTTGGGACTCTCCCAGAACCTCCAGAAGGCCCATGGTTTTCTGTCTTATGTTTGGTTTTTGCTTCCCCTCTGAGCGCCAGGTCTCTGGGCTGCCTTAAGACTCCTGTCCTGGGGTCCTGGAGAGAATGAGGGGCCCCCTCTCAGGCGTCTGGTCGGGAAGGAGCTCTTTGCTACCTCTCCCTGGCCCCTCAGCCCTATGGTGGCAGGTGGCAGGGAACTGGGCATCTGACACTCAGCGTCCCGCCTTGGCTGGTTCTGACCCTCAGCCCATTCGTGCGCGTGGCTGTCCCCGTGGGTCCTGGGCTAGAGGCTGGGATGCTCAGGAAGTGTGCCTCTCCTGAAGTCTCAGCCCCCCAGGCCAGGGACATCTCCCTTCCTCTGAGCGTTTCAGAAGGCCTGTATAACTGCTGCCAGCGTGGTTTGACATCACCTCACTTGGGAGGTTCACTGGGGGGAAGGGGCATTTGAATCAACCCACCCAAATGCTGTACCCCCTTCAAGGCTCCACCACACTTCCAGTGGGAACTGAGCTGGGTGTTGGAGAATCAGGGCAGAAGCAGGATGGTGTTCAAGGCAGGGCCATGGCATGGGCAAAGGCCGGGAGCTGGGGCCAACCCAGTGCCTGGGGCAGTTGAGAGAGCATTGCCACCTTTGATGAAGAGGCTTTAGGGCCGAGGTGGCTGGAAAGGTGGACATAGCCCTTGCAGTTGTGCTGTCCAATGCAGGAGCCACTGGACAGGTGGCTATTCAAATTTCACTATAGTGAAATAAAGAACTCACTTCCTCAGTCACACTGGCCACATTTCAAGTGCTCAGTGGCTGCTGTACTAGACAGCACAGAGGGAACATTGCCATCACTGTAGAAAAACAAAGGACAGGGCTGTCCTGGAGGGCTGTGAATGCCAGGCCGAGAAGCCTAGACGTTATCCTGGGGGCGGGGGTCAGAAAGGGCTTTGAGCAAGGCAAAGGGCACGGGCAGAGCTGGGTTACAGCTTACCCCAAACTTAGTGTCTTAAAACAACAGAAATTTATGATCTTCCAGGTCTGGAGGGTAGAAGTCTGAAATGGGCCTCCTGGGCCAAAAATCAAGGTGTCGGCTGGGCCGTGTTCCTTCCGGGGGCTCTAGGGGACAGTGTGCTTTCTTGTCTTTTCCACAGTCCACATTCCATTCCCCTTCCACGTTCAAAGGCAGCAGTGGTCAGTCGGGTCTTCCTCACACTGTGTCACTCTGACACTGAGCCTTTTGTCTCATTCTCCCACGGTTAAAGGTCCTGGTGGTTACACTGAGCCCACCTGCATAATCTGAGGTCATCTCCCCGTTTTAAGGTCAGCCAATTAGCCACCTGAATTCCTGATGTTACCTCACTTCTCCTTTGCCACGTAACCTATCCATAGGTTCCAGGGATTAGGATGTGGACATCTTTGAGAGGCCACCCACCACATGTGAGATGTGAGTCACCGCTCTGATGGGGCTGACCTTCTGCTGGGGGAGAGACGGTGAGTGTGTCCTGCAGCGCTGGGCAGTGCTCAATGCCGTGAGACAGATAGAGCAGGGCAGTGTCACACGGTGAGCAGAGTGAGGGGGCAGGGCGGGGTAGTTCAGTTGGGTCATCGGGGAAGGCCTCTCACAGGCCTTACCCCTCTGCAGAGACCTGGGAGAAGTAAGGGAGCATCTGGGGGAACCATTCCAGTAGAGCAGAAGCAAGTGCAAAGGCCCTGAGGCATGTGCAAGGAGCAGCAGGGCCTCGGGATCCACCCTGACTCAGCACTGTCCCACTGTTTGGTTGCGGGCAAATCCCATTGCTCCTGGCCTCAGTTTCCCCATTTGCACATGGTAAGGTTGGACCGGATCAACACCTCTCGAATGAGTTCGTGCCCTTGAAACTTTGACCGTGGTGTGGTTGCTTTGGAAGAAAGTTTCCAGGACAGCTCTCTATATAAACATGGATACCAGCCATACTGCTGGGTTTGGAGGAGAGACTGGAATCCTTACCCTCCCCCGGCCCTCCCCAAGGCCTTGCTGAGCAGCCTGCAGTCCAGCAGCCTGCTAATTTCCATCTGCCTGCTGGCTTCCCCCCCTTACCCTGGGTACTTCCACAAAGCACCTCTCAGTCCATCTTCCACACCTTTCAGATCTCAGCTCAAACATCACCTCCTCAAAAAGGTCTTCCCTAACCTCCATATAACAGGATGTGCCAGGTATACACTCTTACAATACTGCGTGTCTGTCATAGTTGTAACTTGATTAGTTTATGGTCAGATTTACCAGTCTTTTCCTCTACAATTTGCACTTTTTGTATCTTAAGGATACTTTCTCTACCTCTGAGATGACTAAGATATTCTCCTTTATTTCCATCTAAATGTTTTAGAGTTTTGCTTCTCAAATTTAGATCTTAAATCATCAGAAATTTGTTTTTGTGTATGATGTGAGGTAGGGTCTGTATTAGTTTCCTATTGCTGCTGTGACAAATTACCACAAGCTTAGTGGCTTTAAACAATATGACTTTATTTTCTTTTGTTCTGGAGGTCAGCAGTCCAAAATCAGTCTTTGTGGGCTAAAATCATGGTGTTATTAGCAGGGCTGTGTTTCTTTTGGGGGCTCCAGAGGAGAATCCATTTCCTAGCCTTTTCTAATCTCGAGAGACTGCCCTTCCTTGACTCTTGGCCCTGCAGCACTCCAATCTCTGCTTCCATTGTCACATCTCCTCTGACTCTTTCACTTTCCTCTTCCCAGTATGAAGACCCTTGTGATGACATTGGGCCCACTCGAACAATCAGAACAATCTCCTCTCAAGATAAGACCCTTAATCACATCTACAAAGTTCTTTCTGCCATGTGGAAGCTAACATACAGGTTCTGGGGGTTAGGATGTGGATATCTGTGGGGGACCATTATTCTGCCTACCACAGGGTCCCATTTAATTTTTTCCATATCTCTCAGCTCACTCACAGATCAGCCTATCCATTCCCCACTCGTCTACAGCAGGGGTCGGCAGACTATAGCCCAGAGGCAAAATCCAGGCCACCTACTGTTTTTGTAAATAAAGTTTTATTGGAACACCGCCACACTCATTCATTTATGTATCAATGTGTACGGCTGCTTTCGTGCTACAATGGCAGAGTTGGGTAGTTGTAGCAGACACAGTGTGGCCTGCAAAACGTAAAAATATATACTGTCTGGCCCTTTACAGAAGTTGTTTGCCAATCTCTGATCTACACATGGGGACTGTCACATGTCAGGACCTCCTATAAGCACAGGTCTGTTTCTGAGCTCTCAGATCTCTTCCACTGGCCTGTCCCCAAGTCAAAACCACAGGTGTCATCACTACAGCTTTGTAATAATTCTTGGTGTCTGGTGGGGGGCGGGGGGCAAGGCCCCCCTTATTCTTCAAAACAGACTTGACTTCCTTACTTATTTTTTTGCCTCTACTTGATTCGTGTCCACTTCCTTCCCTAGACCAGGTCTGTCTTGTTCACTGCTGCGTTCCTGATGCCCTGTGCAGGGCCCAGCACACAGTAGGTGCTTAATTCGTGTCTGGAGAATGATGAGCAGTCCACTGTTAGCTTGACCATCCTTATTTCATAGCAGGAGAAACAGGCTCCAAGAGGAGAGCTGACTTTGCCCGAGAGGGGGCTTGTGCCCTAATGGAGGCCTTCAACACTCCCATTTTATAGATAAGGCCTCTGGGGCCAGAGAAGTGACAGCTTGTCCAAGCCCCTCTGTTCCTAAGTAGTGGGTCAGGACCGCCTCCAAAGCTTGGGCTTTACAATGTTTTCATACTATCGGTAGTACCACATTTGTTCTTGCTTTTATCCTTTAGTATATCTCGTGAATCTTTCCATGAGTACATACAGAGCTGCCTTTTTTCCCTCCAGCTACATACTCCATTCTGTGGCTGTGTTCTGATTCATCAGCCACTCCCCTATCTATGGGCACCTGGTTGGTTCCCATCATTGGCCCCAACCATCCCGCTGCAGTGAACATCCTGCCTCTCGTGCCTGTTTCATGTACTCGAGTTTATCTACAGGATCAATTCTTGGAAGTGGAAGAGCTGTCATGAGCATATGTGCATTTTCAATTTTTTATAGATACAGGCAAATGGCCAGAGTGGAGGCGCTCATTTAAGCTCACAACAATGTGGAGAGGGCCTGTTCCCCACCCTCCTCACGAGCCCGCTGTAGGGGCCGTCTTTTTACCTTTGCCATAAGAAGGGAAAACCAGAGCCAGGGCTCCCAAACCATACCTTCAGGTTCATGGTTTGGGGCCCAGTGCTAACTCTCTCTGGGTGATGCCTTCCCCTCCCCCAAGCAGGTGAGCAAAGAGTTCCTCCAGCTTCTAAGCTTGAGCCCAGGATGAGGGGCCAACCTCCCTGCCAGCCAGCCGTCTGGGAGCAGCAAGCCCATACAGCCTGGCTTAGAAACACCGCCTCTGTATTGACGGGGCTGGCGGCAGCGGGGGCCAGGGAGCCCAGGGGAGGGCTCACTCTGGCTCCCCCTGGCTCTCAGCCGCGGGGTGGCTGCGTTGATGAAGGAGCAGGAGGCGTTTTTGGCCAAACGCCTGGCCGCAGCTGGAGCAGTGATGCCGGGCCGCGGGCTGGCTGCCCGGCGCGGTGGGGGGGTCGTGACAGAGGCGATGGGCAGCCAGTTTGGAAGGGAATGAAAAAGCCTTGGGGCAGTGCGGGCAAGGGTAGGGGCGGGCGTCGGTGGCATGGTGCGTGTGGCGGTGGGTCGCCAGCTTGGAGGGGTAGCAGAAGGACTTGGGGCAGTCGGGGCACGGGTAGGGGCGGGCGGGCGCGTGGGTCCAGAGGTGGGCCGCCAGCTTGGAGCGGTGGCCGAAGGCCTTCGGGCAGTGCGGACACGGGTGCGGGCGTGCGCCGCTGTGCGTGAGGCGGTGGGCCGCCAGCTTGGAGGGGTAGGAGAAGGCCTTGGGGCAGTCGGGGCACGGGTGCGGGCGGGCGCCGCCGTGTGCCAGCCGGTGCGTGGCCAGCTTGGACGGGTACGAGAAGGCCTTGTCACAGTCGGGGCAGCGGTGCGGGCGCTGGGGCGGGGGCCGCCGGCGGGGTCGGGAAGGCGCCCCCGCGGACAGAGCGGGCCCTGGAACCGACTGGCTGGGCGTCTGCGGCGGGCCCTGGTGGGGAGCTAAGGGACAGGAGAGCTGGTGGGCTCCAGGAAGCAACGCCCTGAGTCTAGGCCAGCCCCCGCCCGCAAGCTTGATATATTCGAGTGTACGTGGACACCTCAAGGGTCATACTGAGATTCCCCAAGTGACATGTTCCTACTCCCCACTCCCCCCATGCATCATCCTAAAGGGCTCCAAAGGGTTACCTAACTGGAACCCCAAAGCCACTAAGGTGTCTGCTTCTAGCATCTTCCCAAGTAATCACCCTAAAATCCCGCATGTCGTCCCCTCGTCCCTCCTGTAATTTTCTGAGCCCTATAAATGATCACTGAGAATCCCCAAAGATAACCAAGTGGGTTTCCCAGAACGCCGTGTTTTGGGGACCCCAAAAGGTCATCACCCAGAGCCTTCAAACTTTCACCCTGAGATCCCCTCAAAATGTGATTCTTTTAGCCCCAATTCCTGGAGAATGCCCCCTACCCACCCACAGGTGGCGCCGCTCTTACCTCCTCTCTTGGTCACTGGTTCCTTACCAGCGGGACGAGGATCGGTGTCCCCGGCCGCGGACTCTGCATCTCGCTCCAGCATCTTGCTGGCCCAGGAACCTAGAAGGAGGGCCTAGGACGGGGAAGGGGGCCACGCCGCCGGTGATTATCAGCCTGATGGGGCTGGGGCTGGAGTACCTAAAATCAGGGGTCAGTCTGATTCGGAGCGGGGTCTACTTAAGCCTGGCGTCCTAAGGCGAGGGCGGGCTTGAGAGAAGGCGGAGCTTAGAGCACCATGGGCGGGGCTTATACAAATCTGACCAAGAAGCAGCTCCTTTTGCAATTTAGACCCAGACTTGGATCCCTCTAGCTGACTTGGCGGGGCCTCTACAACTTAAGCTCAGCGGCCGTTCTGAGCGCCGGGCTGGCGGAACCTCCCCCACCAGAACCACGCGGCCGGGGAACCCAGGACAGGAGTGGGCGGACGTATACAAATAGGACCCAAAATCGGTTGCTTAGCAACTCAGGCCCAGGGGCGGGGCCTTCGAGCGGAGTGGGCGGGCCTTGTCCAACGCTGTCCCGGAGGAGGGGCCTGTGAGCTCAGTGGGCGGGATTTCACACGGAAAGGTAGCTTTACCCGGCTCTTGGGTTGGTCTCAGTCCACTGACGCCGCGTCAACTGCTTCCTTCTTGTCGCTAAGTTTCATCCCCGGCATGAGGCTGGGGCCGTGAGGGCTAGACGGGAGACCTGGAGGAAGACAGAAGGAACGTGGCGTGTGTTGCGAATCAGAGACCTCTAATGGACTTCTCCCTCGGGGTCCCAAGGGTCCAGGCCTCAATGCACCCTCCCAAGGCCCAGACACCAGGGCAGCCCCTCCGGAACCTATGCATCAGGACCCCAATCAACCCCTCTTCAGCAGGTCCTGGCGTGCTGTCCCCAGTCCACTTCTCGAAGACCCACGGGTCTGGGCCCGGACCCCTGCCTCGCTCACCTGCGGGCGGCCCCTCCCCGGGGGCGGGGCTCCGAGCCCCTCCCGCGGCGGCCACTGCAGCTGCGGCGCTGCCCTCGGACCTGGCGGAGCTTCACCGCCCGGCGCGCGCCCAGCGGTGGGAGGGGAGGGGCGGGAGCGCGCGCGAGCTGCCAGGCCCAGCCTTATTTCCATCCCCTCCTCCCACGCCGGGCCCGCGGGGGCGTCAGTACGCATGCGCTGTCGCAGCCAGCGGAGGCTGCTGCAGGGGAGAAGGAATGGAAGGAGGGGGTGAGTGCGCAAGGCAGGGAAGGTGGTGAGCAAGCGCCAAGCTATGGGCCGAAGAACGGGGGAAAAATGTTCAGCGGCTCGTGGGGCCTACGGTGGCTGACTGGAGTCAAGCACGTGCAGGCCCTAACACGGGGAAACTTCGCTTAGAGATCATCGAGACAGTGCCCGGCATATGCACCTTCCCTTTTCTATGTCCCGCTTCTTTTAGAGAATTCCACTGGCGGCCTGAGTTGCGGCTCCGAAGTCAGTTTCAAGAGCCAGCTGCCCATTTCACCCCTCAAGGCGTTTGCAAAAAAGTCTGGCCATTTCTTCGAGAGAGGGCCGAGGCGGGACGCAGGGCTAGAGCCAGCTGTCGCCCAACAAAAGGCCCGTTATTTGCATAGCGCCCCAGCACCCTTCGCTATTGGGTGATTCAAGATTCTCAGCCTCTCCTACCCCAATGCGAAGGCCCTGGCAGGAGGGGGAGTCCTGAGGGGACCAGGCCCTTGTTCCCCCACCCCCACCCCCGGAGGGCTGGAGCTCCTGGTGCCAAGCCCTGGGTGGCATGCTTGGCACCTTTTCCTGGGCAGTGACGGTTCACTTTCCCACCCAGCACAGAATGACCATGAGGTACCCGTAGGAGGAGGTCGTCAAGAGGAAGTGACTGCAGGTTGACCCTTGAGCTGGACCCGGGCAATTGGAGGTTCCTCACCCATCCCCTGTCCTTGGACTGTGCATTCTGCTTGCCTTCCCTGCTCCCAGAAGCAGCCCCAAGGATACAGTCTTGAGATAGCGATGTGGTGATGTCTGTCTGGACTGGGTCCTGGACTGAACCCAGTTAAGGCCTCTATATACACTTTTAAGACTTGGCGGGTGGGTGTGGAGATCTCTGCGTCTTGCAGCTGCCCAAGGTGAGCTTCAGGTCAGTTCCCTTGCTTATTAAACCTGCCACCCACCAATCTGGAGTGGTCTGCCTCTTTCTTGGGTCTCTCCCTGCCCTCCAAGTAGGGGGATCAATTTCAGATTACACCCAGAGAAGCTCCCTGAGGAGGTTTCGAACCAAAAATTGGTGAGCCGGCCAGGAGACCAAAGAAATGGATGTTGGAAAAGAAGCATCCTCGGTGGGACTCCCAAGCCGGCTTTTGAGCTCTAAGTGGGGAGGGGTGGCCTGTATGTTAGATGCTTGTGGATCGCTGTGTGAGTATGGGGATGCCCCAAGAATGCCAGCTGGTCTAATGTGCTTGTTTGAGGAATTGCGCGTAGCACACTGCTGCAGTGGGCTAAACTCTGCTGCGGGCAGTTTGGCTGGCCACCAATGCCCAACTAGAGGCTGAAGTTGGAGTCAGAGAGTTGGAAGAAGAGCTGAAGTTAGAGAAGAACACACGGTTGGTCCACCAGTCTACTAGCTTTGGGGCTGGCAGACAGGGTAGGAGGGCACGACATGCCACAGAGTGAGGTCCGAGCGCTGCGACGAGGCCTGATTGGGACACTAAGAGCTGGAACCCCTGGGAAAGCGATGACAGTGAAGAAGAGGATGTTGTGGTGATTGATGAGGAAACGGACGAAAGGTCCTGTGCTGTCGGGCCCCTCATACAAAGGCAGCCCCTAATTGAGGAGACACTCATGATGAGAGAGTATGCTCACTCAGAGCTTTGAGATGTAGCTGCCCAGATCCAGCAAAAGGCCCGGCAAGTGTCCAGGCGTGGTTAGGGCCGCTCTGGGATAGGAGGGGAGACGGCATCTCCCTGACAGGTCTGGAGACAGAGAAAATGAGCAACATCACCACACACCTGCCCTCTGGTAGCACCTGCATGGCCTCAGGGGTTCAAGGGACTCACTCTCTTACAGTCCGGATTATTCTAGCCTGCAGGGAGGCGTGGCCCAAGGAAGGGGATCTCCTTGGGCATGTGGGATACTGGAAATCTATAGAAGAGGTACAAGTTCTTAGGGAGTTGGGAATGAGACAGGCCATCCATGACCCTGTCTTTGAAGGCTCTGCTGGGGCCACATTCACTACAGGAATGAAAGCCAAGACACTCCAGTCTGTCCCCCGCAGCTGGTATGGGACGCTGATACCCATGCGAGCCCAGTTGTGGGACAAGACGTTTATGATGTTGGGCAGTCCATTGCTGATCTGGTGGAAACTGACGAATCCCGGAAATGGGTACAGGCTGTGGGAAAGACCCGGGACAGGGAGCTCAAAAAGCCAAGGAGCTATCCCAGTTGCTAGAAATGGTCCCGTGAAAGTAACCCGGAGGCAAATGTGGTTTGACCTCGTGCTGCCAGGACCCCACATGAACAGACAGACCAGCAACCCAACACCGTGCTGGTTGGCCTGAGGCAAGCCGTAAAACCTGAACAACAGTTCAGACCTGGTCCACCTGCCCCTGCCATCCCTGAGGCCCCGCCTGCTCCAGCAGAGGCCTACAGGGATAGAGTCCTATTTGGGGTGGGTGCCTCCCGTGGCCCAGGTGTAGGATGCAGGCCAAGATGGCCTCCAGGTGAGGGCCACTGGGGGCGATCGACGGCCTCATGCTGAGCTCACTATTCACTGGTCCTCTAGAAATACAAGCTGACAGCTCTGGTGGATAGTGGAGCTGAACGTTCTCGAATATATGGTAACCCTCAAAAGTTTCCTGCCCTGCCCCCCCACCATCAATGGCTATGGGGGGCAAACGGTGATAGTCAGGCAGGTCCTTTGGACTCTGCAAGTTGGATGTCGTCATTCCCTCTACCCCCTCCGAGTAAATGAGGTTTTTATCTCTCTAATACCAGAGAACATATTGGGCATTGCTGACCTACAAGGTCCAACTCAGCAAACCTCTATTGGTGGTTTCTGCCTCCCAGTTAGAGTAATCGAATCAGTGCTGAGGGGAAACGCCACGGGGAACCAGTAAGCCTACCGCCCCCATGAAGAGTGGTAACTGTCACTCATGTAAACTGCCCAGGGGGGCATAGGAGGAGAGGAGAAACTACCCAAGAGCCACACCGAGTGGGTATTGAACACCCTGCTCATAGTGTTTTCAGCAGCCAGGTATGGCCGGTAGAAAAGCCAGATGGCTCAGGGCAGATGACCGTGGACTACAGAGAATTGAACAAGGTAATGCCTCCCATCCATGCGGCTGTGCCCAACATTGCCGCCATCTTAGATGTCTTGGCCACGGTCCTAGGAGTATACCATGCCATGCTGGACTTAGCAAATGCTTTTTTTCAGTATACCCCTGGCTGCTGAGTCACGAGTTCAGTTTGCCTTCACGCAGGAGGAGCAACAATGGACCTTCCAAGTGCTTCCCCAAGGCTCCCTGCACAGCCCCACCGTATGTCGTGGGATGGTAGCCTGAGACCCGTCCCTGTTCTCCTTCCCCACATCAGTGAAATGGGCCCATTGCGTTGATGATATAATGTTAACACGTGAAGCCCGGCCTGTGCTGCAGGGCACTGCAGGCCTTGCTGGAACATCGGCGAGGGAGAGGATGAGCGGTGGGTGAACCCACAGAAAACTCAAGGCCCAGGCACCTCTGTAAAGTTTTTGGGAGTCGTTTGGTCAGGTGAGATGCGCGTTGTTCCCAGAAGCTGTGATTGAGAAGGGGCAAACCTATGCAACCGCTAAGAAGGTGAAAGAGGGACAAGCCTTTGTAGGGATGTGGGCGGCTTGGGGGACTTTCATTCCCCCCCCGGCACAGTGCCTCCGTCCCTTATACTGCCTGGTAAGGAGCGGACACGTGTGGGACTGGGGATCAGAGCAGCCCCCGAAGACAAAGATGCTAGTGAAGCAGATTAAAGCTCTGGGCATCTCCCCAGCAGGGCTACCATTTGAGTTAGAAGTGGCTGCGACTCCCGAAGATTGGGTCGGGCACTGTGGCAGAGACAAGAGAAGGAGACAGCGTCCTAGGATTTTGGTGCCTGCTCTAGAAGGGGACAGAAACCCAACATACCCCTCCTACAGAGAAACAGATCCTAGCGATCGCTCCTCCAGCTAGAGCCTCTCGGGAAGGAACAGCATTTCATGGTAAGAACTTCCCTCCCTATCAAGGGGGGGTTGAGAAGATGTTTCATTGACCCACCTCTGCCAGGGCTCAAACCCCTACGTTGACGAAGTGGCATGCCTGTTTACAGCAGGGGAGCACCCTGTCCATTGGCCCACCGTCTCTGGAAATGCAGTGCTCCTAGGCCCTGTAAAGTATGTAGATACTTCAAGTGACCCCCCGCCTCTGTTCCTGTAGCAGCCCCTGAGGCCTGTAGAGAGGGAGCAGGGGAAATTCCCACTGACGCCTGGTATACAGATGGCTCCAGTCCAGGCTACCTGCCCACAAGGACTGCGGTCGGTATTCAGCCCAACACTGACACCATCTGGATGGAAACAGGAACAAACGGCAGCAGCCAGTGGACTGAACTCAACTGTCTCGCAGGTGATCACTCAGGAGCCCTGGCTGTTAACTCTTTGCACTGACAGTGGGCTCTTCTAAAGGGATTAACCCTATGGCATGGACAATGGGAAGCCGAGGGGTGGACGATTGTGAGTAAGGCCTTGTGGGCTCAGGATGCGTGGAGGGACATGTGGGTTCACCTACAAGAGCCTGAGGCAACCCTCACGGTCTTCTGTGTCCTGGCTCACATGGCGCTGACACCACCTGTCAATCAGGAAGCTGATGCCCTAACCCAGATATAAGCCCTAGCAACCAACCCTTCAGTGGATGGAGCGGTTTGGGCGCACAGAAAGAGCAGCCACCACAGTTCCCTGGGTGGAACGGCATATTGCCAAAGATGCCAGATTGCCCTTGAAATACAGTGGCTTGGTTAATGAAGTCACAGCATGTCCTGTGTGTTCTCAACAATGCCCAAGGCAACTGCCAAAGGAATCTAGGGCCATCCACTGGAGTTCCCAAGTGGTGAGGGATTGGCGGATTGATTCTGGTGGCTCCTCCCTGTGAGTGAGGATTCTAAATAGGCCTTAGTTTGTGAGGACCCCGAGTCTGGTTTAACCCAAGATTTCCCTTGTCGTTGTGCAAACCAGGCTGCCTCCATTGGAGAATTAGAGAAACTGAGTACCATGTACAGATGCTCTCATCAACTAGTGATCAATGGCCACACTTCACAGGTCATGATGTGCAAGACTGGGCAAAAGAACATGACATTGATGGAGGTTCCATCTCCCCTATAACCTGCAAGCAGCATAGTTGCTAGAAAGGAAAAATGGAATATGAAAACAGAATAAATTACTGATACATTAGGTTAATACATTTGAATGATTGACCATATGTTGCCCCGTATGCCAGACTGGGGACCCCTGCTGAGACATCCAACGGGGTAAGGTTTGGAAATCACAGGAAATGGCCATTGCCCCAACTCTCACCATGGATCCACGTGCTATGCTGAGGAGAACACCAAGCCCCATCATGCCTGGGAGAGGCATTATCTACTGGAATTTGCAATGGGACATCCCACCAGGATGAGTGAGTTACTTGGCATGCCTGGGTGAGGGGAAACTACAGATCCCCTTGTTCTACTGCAAGCCAGGCCCATGGAAACACATTCTACCTGGAATGGGACATGCAGCATTGAGAGAGGGGGATGGCAGGGGTCCTGGTCTGGCATATCCTACCCCCAGTTCATCTTCTCACGCCTGACAGGGCTGCCTCCCCTGGCTGGCATGTATATTTTGCACAGCTAGGTCAAGTTCCTAAGGCTGCCAACCTCCCTCTCCTCAAGGCCAGGTGGGCATGATTTGGCCACCATCTTTGTTCCTTCCCTTGGCCTGGAGGACGTTATAGCCCTTACTAAATTCACCCAGCAAGCCTTAAATGACAGCCTACAAAGCCTGTCCTTACTGAACACTGAAAAGTCTCTAGTGAGAAAAGCTGTCCTCCAAAATAGGATGGCCTTGGACATTATTACTGCCTTGCAAGGAGGCACCTGCGCCATTATCCAAACAGAATGTTATACATTTGTACCCGATGAGTCTGCTAATGTGTCATCTTGTTACCAAACACAAACGAGGGTCCTTTTATCCGCCACACAAAAGGGGCCAAAAAAGGCAAA